CAGGGACCTTCTATCTGCCCCATTTTGTGCCATGTCAGGGACCTTCTATCTGCCCCATTTTGTGCCATGTCAGGGACCCTCTATCTGCCCCATTTTGTGCCATGTCAGGGACCCTCTATCTGTCCCATTTGTGTCATGTCAGGGACCCTCTATCTGCCCCACTTTATGCCATGTCAGGGACCTTCTGCACAAGTTTTTCTGCCTAGTTCCTGAGCACTACGATAGTTGTGACTTGATCAATGTCTAAGTTGAACAAGATTTCTTTCATTAATTTTACTTTCCAGGTAAATATTTAAAGAATACATGTACATTTGGAGTTTGTCAAAGATGTTTAGCAACATTAACTGAAAGTCTGAAAAATTTGCACAAAAAGTGTGTTACAGGTAAAAAAAAAATCAAGCATGCTTGTAAATGTTTACATGTGTAAAGAATGACTTGACATCAACTATACTGTTATTTTTAGTTCATCATTTCAGTGGATAGTGATGAAGATGATATTATTCTCTGCTTGACTCAACCTGACCATAAAGCTGAAAATAAGGAAAACAAGACCATTGGATTTAACCTGATGAAGGTATGGTATGTTGCTTCGTTTATTAATATATTGTTGTGTAGTGGCATGGTATGTATAAGTGCACAACTATAATAAATTCATTTGGGAAGGAAGCATTTAAAGTCACTAGGACTTGAGACTCTGCTCATTGTGGCACATTCCTAGACCAATTTGCTTTTTACTTTATCAATTTTGTTTTTTAAAAAATTTTTTAAAGGCACTATACATGTACATGTTTGTTGGATGAAGTTTTGTAATTACATGTACATGCACATACCAGTACATACAAGTACATGTATTTCATGGACCCAAATGTACAAGGAGCTAATGAAGTTACAGTACCAGCATGGATATACATATAAGTAATCCCGTAACATCATTGATGTATCTGCATTGCTGGGCCAATACCATTGGATTTTAATGATTGAGGCAGATACATGTATTTTTACTTTTGATTACATAATCCATATTCTGGAATCACATCTCGCTATCTTCCAATAATCATAAGAATAGTGGCCACTGGTTCACATGCCATTTCTGGCAGTGTCTCTTTGGTTGGTTGATAATAGTCACAAGTGATTCCAACATAAAGTGGATAGTTTCATTGAATTATGGATCAACCTTTTAGATGTTTTTAATTAGGGTATAAATGCATGTGCCGGGGGGGTGCGTCAAACCCCAAAGTTGAACTTTTGGCGTGAAAACTTTTTTTTAAAACAAAGGCCTATCATAATGTGCTTTTGAACAAGTTTCATGTTTGTCGCGAACCAAAGGATGCATGCACATGTAAGACTTGTATATTTCAGTTTTCAATATTTACGGCGTGTCGTATTGGCCCGGTGTGAATTGCTCGGGTGCTGGGTGACGAGCGAATGGTACATGTATGAACATTTTAACCGTAATTTTCGAAATATAGGCCATGCACTGTATAAATCACACCAAGTAAAATATCTGCAAATTAAGTCAGCATTTAATCTCCACTGTGATGCTGACAATAAAATTTGTTTTAGTCGTCATACGTGCTGCACTGCTGAAACACCAGTACATGTAGAGTATTACGTGACGTTCTTCGATGTTCTCTTGACTTTCTTCATATAGGCCTAATGCTGCCAAACCTCTTTGTTGAAAAACTTCAAATCCACTTGGTTAAAGTAGTGATACTATTGCCTTCATGATACAGACTTTTGAACCTCTGTTAACAATTTCAATGCCTTGAAATTTCCTCCGAAATCCAAACAGCAGAACTTGGAAGTGAGCGGTCCAGGGGTTCGAACCCCCCAGCGTATGGGCCAGTGTATGTGCTTGGCTGGTCTGAAACATTTGTCAGAAAGTCAAAACAAGTTAAAGTGATAAACTCTCAACAATTGTGTTAATCAATGTGACTTCATTGTTTCAACCACCCTTCTGGCCATATTATGGTACATGTACTTGCCTCCACAAGCCGGTGCTTTATCAACCATTTAAGACCGACTATGTGATGGGCTCTTTAGCAACAGGAATGGTTAAAGCTGTCTCAGGCATTTATGAATTTTGTTCAAAAGTTAGGTACATGTACAATGTATGCTTCACATTTTATGTGATTTGGCCATAAATGTTAAAGTACCATAAAGTAAATAAACCAAGCTTGTCATTACCAGGCGCAAGATTTGAGGTAACTTCCATGGAAAGGAAAGGATCTGGTCATTCACTGTATGTTATATTTAATTTGACATAGTATCAACACCTTTTCTCTCTGCATGTTACTTGTAGTTGAATGTATTGTGCTCTGTCCCACAGGTTGAAGACAATCGCAAATACAGACTCCACACTCCAGGACAAAAGGTCTTGAACTCTACTTTCATCAATTCACGCAGTGTCTTTGAGAAATGCACCCTCAAGAGAGGTCGTTATGTCGTCCTGGCAACGACTTTTGATGCTGGAGAAGAGGGTCCTTTAATGATGAGGATCTTTTCTGATGAAGGAGCCAAGTGCTGGTATGTAGTTCTCTCAAAGATAACTTTGTCAAAGGCAGACATTAGAACTGGTGCCTTTTCATGCTGAAGATAACATGTGACCCACCCTCCCGAAACCAGGCTGAAGTAAGTAACTTCATAACCCTAACATAGTGGAACTTCCACTGTTCAGATTTTCATGGGAGTTTTACAGCTATCACTTCCCGTAAGAAGCTTACTGCAGACAGAATTTTGATTCAACATGGATCACTTTAAAGTGTAAAAAAAAAAACTGAAGCAGAAGAATTGTCCAACATCACAAATACTGACGTCAGCCTGGTTTGGGGGTTGTGGGTCACACTGTAAAATGAATTGCCTGAGTTTGCCCTGCCTGGCGTATATTTTAAAACTGTATACTCAGTGTATGCCCGGGAAGGCTTGTGAAAAAACCACAAGTGTACTCGGGTGGGACTCGAACCCATGACCACTTGCTTACTAGTGAAGATGTCTTAACCACTTGACCACCGAGCATGCTGGCGTCGGCTGGCTGGTTTGAATCAGATGTAGCAACGGGTACTGAAAACAACTATTTAAGGATGGATTTACGCCGGGGAGATAAAAATTAATTTTCAAAATTAATTTACATCTCCTGGCACAAATCCATCCATGAAATAGTCTTTAGATTCAATTGATGGATTCTACCTATTGCATAACTTCTCTAAGTACATTGCACATTCTTTACCTGCACCTGTATATGTAGGGAGTTAGTCAAAGAGGCTCCATCTCGTACAATGATGAGTAATATTCGTGGCTATCCACAAGTTGTGTCCAAGATTACTGTGCTATCTGCCACTGGACTCCAGAAACAGGACCACTTTGGTGGAGGTGAGATTTTGAAATGAAGACAAAATATATTTTGTGGCTATCCAGAAAAGTTGTGTTTGACCAGCAAAAGTATCACTTGTTTTAGAATGGTTCATAGTGGTCTTCTGAAGCAACTCATGCACATTGGGAGGAGTATGTTAGGAGGGTAAAGCTGACTGAGTACAGAACAGTCAAGGATTTCTGTGGAAGGTAACATGTAGTTGTAATGCACTGTAGCTTGAAGTAGGCCATGCATTTGTGCATTGTTTGCACATGTATATTTGACATTGTAAACATGACAGTTTCCACAAGGAGAGTTCCTGACTGGAAAAAGCATATTGTTCATCAATTTGTTGTTCCATGCAAAGCGTCATTATGGCACTAATGTATTACAGTCAGCACTGTGCACGAGATGCATAGATTGGATGTTCTTACTTGGCAAGATAGTCAGTTTAGACTATGACAATAAAATGTTGTTAAGAATGATTTGTTGCCAGCATTGTTCTTGCTGTTACAGGTGCTGACCCATATGTGTATTTGAGATGGGATAATCACACCACACGTTCCCCAGTCATCAAGAACTCACTAAACCCGGAGTTCAACTTCAGTGCCATATTGTACCGCAAGAAACCACAAAATCCAATTGTAGTGGAGGTAAGCACTTAATTGTGATACTTTTAAGTTGAATGTTGTGTATTTTTTTAATTTTAACATAAAAAGTCAGAAATGTTTCAGGTCTTATTTCAAAGAACAGGAAATGTGCTGAACACTGGTTATCACTGTGTTTGAAATGCAGGAATCATGATTTCACCTTGAATCACTAAATTTATGAGTATCCAAGCAGGATCAAATCTGGTCCCAAATCAGGGTCTGTTGACTGCTGCACAAAATGTAGCTGCTAGCTACTGAAGGTACAGTTTATTATTGGAGGCATTTGCCTAACAATGGGGTCAACCATGTCAACCGTAGAACTGATGGCAGCCACGCGTACCAATGATGAAGGCTGTGCACTGGGAGATGGATCAGTTGTCTTTGGGTACCGGTATTACAAATGTACACATAGGCAACAATTTGATGATGAATTATTCAGTACAAACATTAGCAGGCCATCACACTGTCATTTCCGTTCAGGCATTAATTCACATCATTAGTTGTGTACTATTTGTGCAACCTCTGCAGAAGTAATTTAAACTAATATACACACAACAAAATTTGTGTACTTTGAAATGGCTAATTAGGCCAACTTTTCTCCAATTTTAAAAATCTGATTTAGGTCCAAAAGATATGATTGTCAACATTTTTTAAAAATTATAAAATTGCCAATCGTAGCACCTATGGGTTTCCACATTTTTTGGACTATTTTTCTTCCTCAGATATGGAACAGTAATGTTGTGAAGGACCAGTTCATGGGAGCAGCTGTCTTCATGGCTCCAGTGGACAATCAACCTAAGCAATACACCTCACCATTACATGGAAAAGGCCGTAAGACAGATGAGACTAGACCAGGATCTATCAGTGTAGTTGTCCATACAACTAATGATCTGGAAGCTTTCTAAACACCAAGTAACTGTTTCTACAGCACTCCAGAACTTGATAATAAATTCCAGGCCTGTGTGCAGTTTGCTGCTAACATGTTGAGATTGTTACAAGGAGTAATGCAACTTGTATAGTTTGAATAAAAACCTGAAACAGTACTTCAGTGTGCTCTTTACATCAATCGAACATGCTTTGTTGAACAAACCATTTGGCATAACAAAGTCACTACGACAACTTTTGTACATAACATGGTATTTTCTATAAAAAATTACCATCTGGTTTCCTGCATTGAGGAATTAGTTAAAATGTTCTAATTGAACTTTGCAAACATTCTACAATAATTACCACATTTTCTTACTTTTGATAAATATGTATGCTGTTCAGTTTACAAGGCATGACAGCAATGTTTATATACATTGTATCTGTAAAAGCAAGATGTAATAACTGATTGCACCAGGGCTTTCCATGTTTTCTTGTGAGTCTAGCTTAAACTTGCCTTCATTAAAGCTTTTTAAGACCCAAACTAGTCTTGTCATTTAAATGTCATGTGACCAAAAGAGCAGAGAAATAGATCATTCCAAGAATTCCTAATATCATACTGCGAGTGTAGTAGTCAAGGATCTTTCCAATATTTTTGCATATTCAGGTGCAGAATGTTGCATCTTCTATGGGATTTCAATTTGTCAGTGACCGAGGTTTAACAAGAATTTTAGAAAACAATGACTGTTACTGAAATTCAGACAAATGCTTAGTTTTGAAAGACGTCTTGGTGCCACTTATCCTTTCAAATGATGCATTTACTTCCGGTGTAATCTGTCTGATCATCAGTTCTGATCTGTCTGGTGGTTTGCAACCGTGTGTTCAAATATACAATACAAACGAGTGGTGAGATTAATTGTACACACAGTTGTAAGGCGTGTGAAGATGGTGCATGCGCCATTGCCCGTGTGTAATGTGTATTTCAATTCATTATACAGGCCTAAAGAACCAGGACATATTTCTGGGCTTACTTGGCTTGGCTTATGTTTTCTGTATCTGATAAAGTTCTGTAGGCCATGCTCTGTCCTCTCAGAAAGAGCTTTAAATGTATAAATACCATTCTTCAGCACAGGTAGCACTTGTGCTATCAAGTTTCCAGAAGCACATACATGTATTAATCATGTGTAAGTTGAACTTGATGTTTATACTTGTAACTGTTGTTAAAAAATGGGTTTGCACTATTTCAGTGTTGAGTACAAACTCAAATACTATCAAGGTGGTTGTATCTGTAAAGGGTGGTTTACCAAGTTACCACGGTACCTTATTTTTACATGCATCTCTGCAGTCAGAAATGACTGAGTGATTCTGATTCTAAAACACAAGTAAAATTGCCATCTGTTGCTAATTTAGCCAGATTCAGTGCTAAGATGAGCTGTCCAAAACATCACTTTGATGAAAATAACATTTACTAGAAATGTGAATTTATTTTTTCAGATTTCCTGGTACCAATCCTGTGTCACCAAGCTGGTCAGTAGCTGAATCATGTTTTATATGTTGATTGCATTTGGGCATAATGCATGTAGCTACTGTATCAACATGTTGATGGATTACAATTGTTGAAATGTTCCAGTTTGTTGATAAGTACTCTGTTACACAAACAACTTCAACAAACTGACCGGTTTTTAAGAAATATTTCTACATTTATCTATGCTGGAAAAACGTTGACATATTTTCCACCTTTAATGCCATACTGAGACCTTGAACTACATGTACGTAAAAAAAAATTGAAGTTTGTCATCACATTTGGTTCATATTTTGTGAAGATGCTGGCATGTACGAAAAGACTAAACAAACTTGTAGCCTCTCTATGAATGGTTCTAACAACCTTCAGGAAGCTGATGCTGCTTTTAACAGTGCCAGAGCTGTGGTCTTTAATACAACAGTTAGTTTTAATGTTTTTAATACATGTATATGCTAATCAAGTGAAATTATCTGCATGATGAACTAATTAATTTGCATTATTATAACTATGGGTTGCATGCTTTATATAATAATTTTTAAGGTGTTTCACTTGAATGAATTTTTTTACTGAAATCATGTGACATTGTAATTGATATTTTGTGGATGTAAGGGGAGTATATTTCAACCTAAGTTTTGTATTCTAGTAAGGTGGAAGAATTTTTGTATTGCATAGTTGTGTAAACTTTTTTATTTTGTGTGCTGTTGGAAAGGGGGTTTTATGTGTGTAGATTGAATGGCGCAGATTCTGCTGTGTTTGTTTTGAATGCTTTAATACATTTAAATGTATATGTAGTTGTCTAATTCAGTAGTGATCTTACTTTCTAACTTTCTAGCATTTTGCAGAACTAAGTGTGGTTTTAATATTGATTTTATCCCTCTTCTTAAGGATCTACTTGCCCATTTCACAGACAGTTGATTTTGCTTGTATTCTTGTTTTTCTGGAACATTTGTTGCAACTGCATTTTTGTAATTGAAAAAATTAGGACAAGATTAGATGCCGTGCCACTGCCGTGCTGAACTTAATTCAAATGAGTGTGGCAGTAGCACGGTAATAGCACAGCAGTTGCGCTAAATGCCGAACTTAAAGCAGTGTCATGCCATTTCCATTGGAATGAAGGAAGCGTGGCATACCCTGTTGAGCTAAAGGGCTTGCCATGCCAAATTCCATTTGCCAAGCCAAATTGCGCTACCGACGTGCAATAGCCGTGCCGAACTTAAAGAAATTGAAGTAGGCACGGCAGTAGCACGGTGTATAGGCTGGGCCTTAGTTGAAGTAAAATGTTGCTTTATTCAGCCTCTGCATAAACACCAGTGACAATATTTTCACTTACATCTGTAAACCTAAATTCATATTTTAGCTCCAAAAACCCTTTAATTCAATATACTTGTAGTGACTTCTTACTTATCTTGGTATGCCAGTGTATGCAAGATTAGGTCAGAAATTGCCCTAGCTAAGACCGATTTGTTGAAAAGGGACCAAGTTTTGAACAGCCATTGTAAATCAGAATAGAACAGATTCCATTGATACAAAAGGAATGTTTTTCTTGTTCATTTTCATTCCTTCAGATTAATCAAACTGCAGTGGTTAATTAAGGAGAAGTGCCTGAGGAAACCCAATGCAGTCACAAGAGCATATAGTTCCACAGACTACTACATGTATTATGAAAATGCTTGTGGGTCTGTTGCATATGTTCTTGTAAATATAACAATGAAACTCTTGGCATCTCTACCTACAGAGTGAATATTGTAAAACAATTCATGTGTCCTGCACAGGGCTATACAGTACATGTCAAAAGGTGGGATATTCTCAAGACACAGAACTAGCTTGTGAATAGTTCAAGGATTTGTTGAAAAGGATGCATACCTGTACAGGCATTTCAATGTAACCAACAAACCAAGCAAGATGTGCAACTTTTGTTCATTGTGCAAACAGCATAATGAAATTTATTAAGACTTCTGTACTTATGTAGTTTATTTTTTTAGCATTGTACAAAAACTACCATTCCTTCTAACTCCAATAAATATGACACGCGGTGATGGGAATGATTGCTGTGCAGAGGTGATGGTTTATTGAAGTCAAAACACAGACGCAATAGGCAAAATATAAGCTGAAGATTTACTGACATGCATGCTGTACAAGATAAAGGATAATTGTACACTTTGGGTATAGGCACGGGGGAGGGGAATTGTATCATTTTCAGGCATAGGCTACTGATAGATATCGTTTCATTTCTAACCCCTAAAAAAGGAATAAAAATCCCAAATCCTGTTCTGTGCCTTATTCTTATACAAGCTAACTTAACATTTAAAGGCAAATATAATAACATGCATTTGCAGGCACATATACGTACATCAGTGTAGATGCATCTCATTCTTCCAACTTTCTGTCTTGTCAGAATTTTGTCATGTATTCTTATAAGCTCCAAAAATTTCATAAATCTCACAGTGAATGAGGTTCTCGCAACCTCCATTAACTTCATAAATCTCACAGTGAATGAGGTTCTCGCAACCTCCATTAACTTCATAAATCTCACAGTGAATGAGGTTCTCGCAACCTCCATTAACTTCATAAATCTCACAGTGAATGAGGTTCTCGCAACCTCCAGCAACTTCATAAATCTCACAGTGAATGAGGTTCTCGCAACCTCCATTAACTTCAGAAATCTCACAGTGAATGAGGTTCTCGCAACCTCCATTAACTTCAGAAATCTCACAGTGAATGAGGTTCTCACAACCTCCATTAACTTCATAAATCTCACAGTGAATGAGGGTCTCACAACCTCCAATAACTTCATAAATCTCACATTGAATGAGGTTCTCGCAACCTCCAATAACTTCATAAATCTCACAGTGAATGAGGTTCTCACAACCTCCAGTAACTTCATAAAATCTCCAGTATATCAGGTTTTCTCATAACCTTGTACAGTATAGCTATTCATAAAACCCACAGTATATACAATATGGAGAATTTAATAAAATTGTGATTTAAAAATTAAAGAATTGTACACGTACGTTGTACATTTTCAATGTTTGTAAACATGTACTTCAAGCTAAACTAAATCTGAAATGCTACAGAAACATGCAATTTATTTCAGTTCATTTTATACAACCAAGTACATGTAATTTAATTTTTAAACAGCTCAAACTAACTGTGCCTTGTACATGAAGAAAATGATATTAGCACTTAGGCAAATGATATGCAAATGAAACTGTGCTTTGCAAGATACAATTTGGACATAAGGGTGAATATGTAATAAAACACTTGCTCATCCCTTGGATTCTGAACAATTTTCAAGTAATTTTTTTTAACACAAATAGTAAAAAAAACCTACATGTATTTATACATGTACATATATGCACATTATGTTCCCTGATAAAGAGGCATTCACTGGCAAAGTACACGTAGCACAACCAGTCTACATACTACTGGCTGTTACACTTTAAAAAGTCAACAATTCCACAAAATAATTATTTTGTTACATTTGTATCAGTTTGTACACAGATGTGACATTACAAAAACACATTTCACTGCACATACATTGTAAATCAAACAGTGCAAGCACCACTAAGTAACTTATGAAAAGTCCATCTTGAGAGACAAGGTTGCTGATTGAACAGAGCATTGGATGAAGGAGACATGCTCCATCATTGTTGCCATGGTTTCATTATTCATGTTTGTTGGTGCATACTGTGCTACTAGAGGGAACGTATCCATTTCTGTCATACCATACAGAATATGCCTGGAGGGTAAAGAAAGCAAACATATACAAAAAAGCCTTAGACAAAATGCACAAAACACATGAAGACTGCGATGTGTGAGTTGGGCTGAATGGTACTGTGTAGCCTACATGTACCTTGAGGACATGACAAGACAGCAAGAGTCAATATGGTCAATCAATAGCTTAGTGTTGGGAAACCTTATGTACCAGTATTAACCGCTACCAGCCGGGGACTTCGAAATCGGAGCCGTATGGTTTATATGTGTGGCCAGGGTCTCCGAACTCGGACAAAGTAAACAGGGCCTTGTAACAGAAGACCGTACTCTGAACAAAAGACCAGGCTGCTGGGCATTACCGGCATTTTTCACTCTCTAAAGTGGTGATAATCCAGCGTTATTTTGAAACCGTATACCAGGGTTTGGGGTATTTAGAGCAAGTGGATTACCACCGGGGACAAAAGCTCTCCACCACCACAGCGATGAGCC